TTTTTTTTTGTCAGTTGTGGGGCTTGAGCTCTAGGCCTGGGAGCTGTCCCTGAGCAATTCAGCTCAAGGCTCATGCTCTACCACTTGAGCCATAGCGCCACTTCTATATAACTGCATTTTGAGTAGTAAAATATAGCAACTCTGGAAATCAGATCTCTTGGTTAGCTGAGTTTACTGTTATTTTCTCTCATGGTAGTTGTCAGTTTTGGGTGAGTTTTCTGAATCAGTTCTGTGAAGTTTATGCCTTGCTTGATCTGGCCTTTGAAGCTTTTATTCACTTAGCTTTGCTGCTCTGCTGATCAGCGGGCAGGGGTTTCTGTACATACACAAGCAGGTTGTGTGGCAGCGGTTAACATGTGCTGCCCTCAGTCTGTACCTGTGTTTGAGCCTCACACCACTTCTACAGACTCTTAAAGGCCAGATGTGGGGTCTTCTGACCACACCGCTCTGCTCTCTGAGTTCCCAGAAGTGCAGATATGCCACAGTGAATGACTCCGTCTTTCCATGAAGATTCTGATGAGGCTGAAAGGTTCCTGCCACCAACTGACATTCTTAGTTGGTGTGAGAGCTCTCACAGTGTTCACACAGGGGTTCGCATTTCTGAGAGCGCTCCTCCTGTGTGTGAGGGCGCTCATCCTGCTGCAGGCCTCCCTGCAGACCATGGCCGCTCCTCCAGCCATCACTGTTGTTTACTCCAATTGCCAGGCTTCAGCAGGCCTTCAGCCTCAGCCTGTGTGACATAGCTCCACCAGGCGGGCAGTATAGACCTAGGCCGCTGTGGGTTAGGTGTCTGGGCCCTCCAAGGATGGAGCAAGCAGGCATTAATTATGTTACCTGCTCTGTGCCCTGTGTTTCCGGTTGACGAGCTGGGAGCAGCGAGATCAGATCCTCCTGCTCTCCTTGCTGAAGAGCAGAAGAGCATTGTTTTCTTGGAGTGATTGCTGCCTGGGTTATTGTAGGCTTTGCTTTGTTCCAAACTCCCAAAAATGTTGATCCATACGTGGTCCCTTCTTTTTGTTTTGTTTTTATGGAGCTTAGAACTTGGTGTTCTTTCCCTACCACTTAACTGACTTTTTTTTTGTGGGTCATGGGGCTTGAACTCAGGGCCTGGGCACTGTCCTTCAGCTCAAGGCTAGTGCTCTACCACTTGAGCCACAGTGCCACTTCTAATTTTCTGGTGGCTAATTGGAGACAAGAGTCTTACGGACTTTCCTGCCCAGGCTGGCTTTGAACTGTGATCCTCAGATCTCAGCCTCCTGAGTAGCTAGGATTGCAGGTGTGAGCCGCTGGCACCCAGCAACTGAATTTAGTTTTTGATATTTGAATATGCAGGGATATTTCAAGCAGGTTTCTCATTTATTGTAACATAAAGGAAATAAAATAATAATTTTATTCACAGTTGAAATAGACTAACCAATAAACGTTAAAGTTTTTTTTTCTAGATTGACTTGTTTAAGCAGTTTACAAGATTTGGTGGTTATAAAGGTTTCAGATGTCTTAGGAATTGATTAAAAGGAAAGAAAAGGCTCCACCCTACTCCCTCTCCAGTGTAACCACTGCCATCAACAGGACCATAATTTGTGGCAGATACAAGGAGTGATGTTCTATGTAAAATTAGTAGTCAGACCGCACACACTTTTAATACTCGGGTAATTAGAATAGTGTTTAAGTATTATCAGAGTAAGCTCTTGAGTCTCCCTGATTATGCTCTGCACAGAAGTATCTGAGTTTCCAGGGCCTTTGGTGTCAGTATTCCCACTGCAGATGAGAACTATTTGTCTCTAGTAGCTGCATAGCTGAGTTGCCGCAGTTAAAACCAACCAGAAGTGACCATGGACCGTAGTGCCGCAGATCCCGCTCAGTGTGGTGCCAGCCTCTTCAGGTGAAGCAGGCGCCACGCATGTGAACTCCCTCTGCAGGCCAGTACTCGTGGGCTGTTTGAAGAGCAACCTCTTATGCCTTGTTGGAAAGGAGGACCTTGTACAAGGACAGCTATCACATCTAGCACCTCACGTTTCAGTGTTGGAAGAAGTTTCTCTTAGTGTGAAAATAGACATTAGAAACATGGTAGGCTCTTTTTGTTATTTTTGTTTTTTCAACATGGTAAGGTTTAACTTTTTTTTTGTCAGTTGTGAGGCTTGAACTCAGGGCCTGGGCTCTGTCCCTGAGCTCTTTTGCTCAAAGATAGTGCTCTACCACTTTGAGCCATAGCTCCACTTCCAGTTTTTGAGTGGTTAATTGTAAGAATCTCATGGGGACTTTTTTTGTCTGGGCTGGGTTTGAACCATGACCCTCAGAGTTCAGTCTTCTGAGTAGCTAGGATTACAAGTGTGAACCACCAGTGCCCAGCTTTAACTTTTTTTTTTTTAACCAGAACTGGGTCTTGGACTCAGAGGCCTCATATTTGCTTGATTTTCTTGCTCATAGCGGGCTGGCATTCTATCATTTGAGCCACATCTCCAGTTTGGCTTTTTTCTGGATAATTGGAGAAGGAACGTAGAGGACTTTTCCACCCAGGTTGGCTTTGTTCTCCAGATCTCTACCTCCTAAGTAGTTAGGATTACAGGCATAGGCCCTAGCTATTTTAACTTTCTTTATCACATATATTTCATTGTGGATATGTTACTTAAAGAACAGGTTGAGTTTTAACCTGCAGGAGAATTGTGGAGGAAAGGAATGTGGTGGGGCATGGAGAGGTCTCAGGACGTTGCGGTTGGTGGCTGCTTGTCTTGGTTGAGACTTTTCTGGGTCCCACAGCTTCCGTAAGCTCATCCTGGGTGGCGTGGTGTCTCTGTAGGCTGCGGACACTGACTCAGTCTCTTTCCATTGCAGACCACACCACTCTAGAGCCCAGTGCGCGGATGCCTTGGCCAAGAAGTGTTTGGTCATGGACGAAGATGATGAGGCTGTCCTGAACCTCATTGCTGAGTGTGAGTGGGACCTAAGCAATCCCCCTGGAAGCACCAGCACCAGCCAGAAGGAACTTGAGGCCGACCTGCAGCATGCCCAAGGTATGCGCTGAGCGTGCGAAAGTGAGGCACCACACACAGTTGTGCTGCTTCAAGTACTGAGTACGAGGGGCAGGGTCCTCCTGGGAGTACTGAGAGTGTGGACCATGGAGTTAGGAAAGGAGAAGCACAGTTACACGGCATGGCATGGAAGTCAGGTGCTGGTGGAGCTGGTGTCTGCTCTGGCCCAGCGGCCCCGAGCCACTGAGCTCTGACAAAGGACTGATCTCAGGCTGATCTTAGGCCTTTATGGCCCTCCACAGATGTAGGGGCTTCTCGTGCATTGCCTAGAGGCTCTTCTTGTATGTCTCAGCGCATTTCATGAAAACAAGATGTTGAGGCACGTTTGGGCGAGATCCCAGGTTTGCCTGGCCACTTGAGAGATTGTCCCCAACACTGTCGTGGTCCTGTTGGTCCTAATTAATTCCTCCTGTGAATGTGTGTGTGCCATAGCATTTATAGGCTCTGTCTGTATTTTGTGAAGACTAATGTGGAAATGTTGGCCATGTGTGTCTCTGCTTCATTGATATCTGAGCCTCACTTCTGTGTACTCTGTGGTTCAGTGAGTTTGCTTCTTTTCTTGGTAATGAGTTATACTTGGTAATGAGTAGTGCTTTATGATTTGAAATCCAGATTCTTGCTCAGATAGAAGTACTTTGAATTTTCTCCCATTCCATGGCATGTTTTTCATTTTCCTAACAATACTTCAAAGTACTGATGTTTTAACTTCAATGAAGTCTAGTTTGTCTTTTTTTTTCTTCAGTGGTTTGTAGGAGGGTGGGGTGTATAGAGTGTCTGGTAGGGAGGTCTTCATCTATGCTGTTTAAGAGGATTTCTTCCTTGCTTTTTACATCTATGTTGTAGTTTAAGTACCTATATGCAAATTACACTAGATAAGCAAATACTGTGAGATTTCTGGGTGAGCCAGTGTTGTGGGTGGTGTGAGGTCCCTGGGTGAGCCAGTGCTGTGTGGTGTGAGATACCTGAGTAAGCCGGTGCCATGTGTGGTGTGAGGTCCCTGGGTGAGCTGGTGTTGTGGGTGGTGTGAAATCCCTGGGTGAGCCGGTGCTGTGTGGTGTGAGGTCCCTGGGTGAGCGACCACTGGTTTAAAGAACCAAGATCTCTTCTACTGAATTATTCTGGTGCCATTTGTCACAATCTGATTGTGACATTTGTTCAGAGTCAGTTTACCTTGTCTGTTTGTCATTTTGAAGATTTTCTTTATTTCCTGCCACCCTGTTTTGGTTACTGCCTCTTTCATGTGAGTTGAGTTGGGTCGAGTCCTGTGATGTCAGCTCTACCCTTTGCTCAGGGTAGACCCGTCTGGAATTCAGTGTTGTCTGCTGTACTACTAACTCACTCAGGCTTCTTTTTCTTACTTAATTGATTTAAGGAAAGGATGCTTAATAAATGTCATATACTATCACAAAATTAAGGTGTCATTTTTTAATGAAACAAAATTTAAAATGTGTTTAATAAAATACAGAGTCCAGACATGTGTTCAGCCCTTCTCCATCCGTCCATCATCAGTGTGGGGACTCGGTGAGGAGGGGCCGTGAGAAGAAGAGGGGCAGCTCTGGAGGGTGCTGCTCGGGACAGCCAGCTGAGGACCAGTACTGTGGGGAGCTGCCCACACAGCACGGCCACCCAGGTGAACGCTGAGCCCTGCTGCGCCTCCTTGGCCCTTAAACATGTTCCAGCATTTGATAGTGCTTTGAGAGGTCTCACTTGTTTTCTTTGTACTTATTTACAGAATTCTCTAAAATGTCTTAGGAAAAAAATTAATCACATTGAAATTTACCATCCACCATATTTTAGGAAAGTATGCTTAACAGTAGTCAACTACTATCACAAACTTAAATTTCTAGTCTGCAAAAACTTAAGTATTTTTCCTTTGCAAACACATTCTTCCTCTACCTCTTCCTCTTCCCCATTCCCTCTCTCATATGCACACTTTTTCTTCTAAGTTTTTAGGCTCAGGTTATAACAGTACTAGTATTTTTTTTCTTTTTGTAGTACTCACATTTTAAGTTTGTGATAGTACTATATGACATGTGGCTTGGGATGACAGGCCCAGGGTGCTGTACCCAGCAACAGACTGAGAAGGAATCTTAGGAACTTTTCTGCCTGGGCTGGCTTTGAACTACGATGCTCCTGCTCTTAGCCTCCCAAGGAGCTAAGATGACATGCATGAGCCAGCTTAGAAGTTATGTTTTCAATATGAGAAGTTGTGAAATTAAATTATAAATTAATGAGATTATTATGTGCATCTGTGAGGTGTAAATATAAAAAACTCTCCAGTATTAGGCTGGATATAGTGTTCATGCCTATAATCCCAGCTGTTCAGGAGGACTGTGGGTCTAGATCAGCTCATCTCGACAAAAAGGCAATGGTGATTTATCCCTAAATCAATCCCAGGTTTGTGGAAGACATAAGTAGAAGTATTGTAGTACAGATCATCTCAGGCAAAAAAATATGAGAGCCTACCTCAACAGCAACTAAAAGCAAAAAGACTATATGTATAGTTCAAGTGGTAGAGCACCTGCCCAGCGGGGGGGGGGGTGTCTTGGGTACACACCCTACTACCAACAAAAAATTTTAAATATCCTCTCATTTGAATGAACAGGTTGCTCAGGCCATGCTTGGGGCGCAGTTAAAAACGGGGGTCATGTGGTGGCTGGCCGAGTGGACTGTTTACATCAGACGCAGGGCAGTCATGGTGGCTGAGTGGACTGCTCACATCAGACGCAGGACAGTCATGGTGGCTGAGTGGACTGTTCACATCAGATGCAGGACAGTCATGGTGGCTGAGTGGACTGTTCACATCAGACGCAGGGCAGTCATGGTGGCCGAGTGGACTGTTCACATCAGACGCAGGGCAGTCATGGTGGCTGAGTGGACTGTTTACATCAGATGCAGGG